ACGACCTTGTGGTCACCCAAGGTCCTCCTGAAATAACCCCAACTGCCATCACGCCTCGTCTATTCTCCCTCATCCTTCCATATTTTTCTCTTAGTACTTTCTGCAGACAGATATTATTAGAAATCTGATAGGTAATTACCCACAGGAAAGGCACATACATAATATTTAATGTAAACCAGGCTTATACGTATACTGTTTCAAAACAATTGTCAATAGAGATTACTGTTTGGTTGAATTCGATTCTACAGTAATGTGTCGAGATTTTCATATTGGTAAAGCGGTACACCGTTGACCGGGAAAGGGGGAGAGAGAGATTCTTGATAAAAATTTTGGTTCATGAAGTCCAAATTTGTTACTACAATTAATTTTACATAATAATCTGGTGTATCTTAATCAGGTCATAGTATACAGCTGGAATAAGGTACATAATTTAGTTTTTAAGTCGTATTTTTGAGAGCGAATAATTTGATGATGCATTTGAAGCCTAATTTATGACTTCAATAATAACACAGTATTCAAGACTCAAATGTTTTGTGTTAGCAGTGTGTACAAAAGTAGCTCTTTTTTATAATGCTATAAAACTTATTGAAAGTGACAAAATTTCGGTAATCGAAGAAGTAAATGAAGTTAATATGCTAATGCCTAAGATTTAATATTTACCTTATAAATATATTATTTAATAACCACACATAATTAAAAAGATAATTTTCGGGTTGTTTATTATAATTAAGTCCAAATAATGGTGGCCAAATTATATTATATATATTATCAAATTCAAGATTTCAAAGGACTGTAAATATTTAAATCCTATTTAATACTTTCCAATACTTAATGATCCCTTAAGATCTAAATAAGGGATTATTATCGACCACTTCAAAGTCGTCTACTTTACACATTTTCCTCAAAAACGGCCCAAACATTTTTTATTAAATTCATTTTATCAGTGTAAAATTAAGCAGCTTTTAATATAATATAGACCGTATTCTCATTAATGTTCGCTAACAGGGTTATAAAATGCCTAATTTTCAAAATATCTTCCTCTAAAGTAACTTTAAAAAAAAAAATAATTAACCAGTTTACATTGTCACATAAAAAAACACTGGCATATAAAAAATGGCTGAATATAATGAGTGAAGAAAATTGTTTGGTAACTGAAGGAGAAATAAGGATTGGAAGCGATATGGAAACAACCTTTGCCGATCCTCTCCCTTTACAGATACCAGATACCCTTCTGTACAGCGGTCTGATATTATTAATTTAACTTTTATATATCATTTATCCATAACTTTCTAAAAAAAATTGTTCACGCGTTGTTTTAAAAAAAAAGTTGAGAAGCTAGTAATATAAATCCAATAATATACAATGTTTACTAACGTTAAGCTATTTTTTCGACGAGTTTCGTGATAAATGTTTCCGATAAAATTCAAAGTTTTATAAAATATGTATTTTTGCTCACAATCGTTAGTTAGTATTTTCTTGTACTATACACAGTCGTAAAATAAAATAGAAAGTGATTAACGTATTAATTTAATAGAATCGATAAGCGTGAAAAATATGCTAATTAATTATTTTAAATTAAGTTAAACCATCGTTTTCACTTTGACTTATGTAAACTAATACACTATTAGATTGGTAAGCGAAAATTGTATGATGTGCGCACAGCACCATGCATTTTCCTGTTGTACATTTGTTTTTTTAATGGTTTGAATTTTAGGTGTATGTAGCCTTTTGTTTTTAACTTGCGTTATTTTCAAGCATTATCTCCGTGAAGCTCAACATTTTTGCTGAGAACATACTCGAGGAAAACCAGTGTAAATTTAGGAAGGGGAGAGGAACAACTGATCAGGTCTTTGTGATGAGACAGATAATGCAAAAAGCCTGAGAATATAAGATTGACCTGCATATACTGTTCATAGATTACTGGCAAGCTTTCGATAGAATGATAAGAAGCCTATTAATAAATGCCTCACATGAGTCTCAAATTCCAAAAAAAATTAATAAGGTTATTGCAAATGACTATGAATAATAGCAATGCAAAAGTAGTTATTAAAGGCAATGTAAGCAATAGCTTTCCAATGACGGATGGGATTAGGCAAGGGGATGCTTTGTCTGCCATTTTATTTAATATTGCAATTAAAAATGTTTTGAAAAAACTGGATTCGCCTGGTTGCATACTTAACACAATATGGGCGTAAAAAAAAAGTTTAATTACCAGGAATTTGAGGATAATAAAGGAAATATTTGCAATATTGAACGCCGAAAGTGAAAATGTTGGGATGGAAATTAATCAAAATAAGACAAAATACATGTATCTCGAGGCTGATCCTCGGAGCATTGAAATGTGTGGTCTCACCTTCGAGTGTGTCAAAAACTTCACGGACCTTGGGGTGGAAGTGAATTCTGAAAATAAAATTGCTGCAGAGGTGTACAAGAGGATCATAATTGGAAACCGAGCGTACTATGCCAACCAAAAATGTTTTCGATTATCACTTCTGTCACGAGATACAAAGATAAAACTGTATAAGACTTTAGTAAGACCTATCGTGACTTATGCAGCGGAGACGTGGGCCCTTTGTACAAGCACAATCAGTATGCTGAATATTTTTGAAAGAAAAATATTGAGAAGAACTTATGGAGCTGTTTGTGAAGAGGGTGTATGGAGGTATATGAAAAAATCGGAGCTATATGAATTATATAATAGCGGCAACATAGTTAATTTCGTTAAAACTAGGCGCATGGAATGGTTAGGCCACGTGGTTAGAATGGACTACAGCAGGATGCCTTATAGGGCATTGTTCTCGGTAGGGCAATGTATGGCACAAAAAGAAAGGGAAGACCATGGAAAAAATAGATACAAGATGTTGAGAGCGACCTTAAGGCACTGAGTGTGAGAAACTGGAAGGAAAGGGCAAGCAATAGAAATGATTGGCATGCTATAATTCAGGAAGGCAAGGCCCATCCTGGGCTGTAGAGCTGCATAGTAAGCAATAAGTTAGCAGGCTTTTGTTTGTAACTGCTATTTGTATAGAAGCATCTATGGCACAAAAAGAAAGGGAAGACCATAGAAAAAATGGATACAAGATGTTGAGAGCGACCTTAAGGCACTGAGTGTGAGAAACTGGAAGGAAAGGGCAAGCAATAGAAATGATTGGCATGCTATAATTCAGGAAGGCAAGGCCCATCCTGGGCTGTAGAGCTGCATAGTAAGCAATAAGTTAGCAGGCTTTTGTTTGTAACTGCTATTTGTATAGAAGCATCTATGGCACAAAAAGAAATGGAAGACCATAGAAAAAATGGATACAAGATGTTGAGAGCGACCTTAAGGCACTGAGTGTGAGAAACTGGAAGGAAAGGGCAAGCAATAGAAATGATTGGCATGCTATAATTCAGGAAGGCAAGGCCACCCTGGGCTGTAGAGCTGCATAGTAAGCAATAAGTTAGCAGGCTTTTGTTTGTAACTGCTATTTGTATAGAAGCATCTATGGCACAAAAAGAAAGGGAAGACCATAGAAAAAATGGATATAAGATGTTGAGAGCGACCTTAAGGCACTGGGTGTGAGAAACTGGAAGGAAAGGGCAAGCAATAGAAATGATTGGCATGCTATAATTCAGGAAGGCAAGGCCCATCTTGGGCTGTAGAGCTGCATAGTAAGCAATAAGTTAGCAGGCTTTTGTTTGTAACTGCTATTTGTATAAAAGCATCTATGGCACAAAAAGAAAGGGAAGACCATAGAAAAAATGGATACAAGATGTTGAGAGCGACCTTAAGGCGACCTTACTTTTTTTTTTTTTAGTTTGTGGCCCCTTTGTGTTTATTTTTCATTTTTTTCCCTTTTATTTTCGTCATATTATGGATCTTCTTAGAATATGGGATTTGCCACCAAATATTGAACAGGCAATTCAATATTTTCAAAATGTTGGGGTACTTGCCGACGTGAAATTGTGTGAACGAGGTCATCGAATGAAGTTAACCAGGAAGGCCAAATGGAGATGCTTTTGTAGGACTTATGACACGAAACTTTCAATAAGGTAAGGAACATGGTTGGAGGGCTCGAGCATTTCGTTTTTAACAGCTTTAAAATCGATTTATTGGTGGTCCCATAGCTTGACAACGATGAAGTGGAGCAAAGAGCAGCTGAAACTATCCTACGGAGCTAAGGTAACGTGGAACAAATGTCTAAGAGAGGTTTGTGCTCATGACATGTTATACAGGCCAAGAAAAAAATTGTTTGAAGTAGACGAAAGTCTTTTTTCTAAACAAAAAAATCATGTGGGCAGAGTTTTACTTTAGCAGTGGAGTTTGCCGAGAAAAAGATGCATGTTTTATCTTTTTATAAAACAGATTTTGTTTTATATTTTTTCTTTTCTATGTAAATATTTTCTTTTAAATGCGTTTTTTTATTATTTCATTTTGATGTTTTATATGTACTTATCTTCTTAAAGTGTTTTTTTTTTTTTATTATTTCATTAATATATGTGTCGTCAAATAAAAGTATTTTTTTTGTTATTACATTTGTTTTTGTATCTGTTTACACATTCAACAATACGTTTATCAATGCGTTATGAGGGTTATTAGTGTTCAGGTTATAAACATTGGAAGATAGCAGTCAGTAGCGGCCCCCTAGACAAAAAGTACTAGAGAAATTATAGGATTCGATAACCTAGATAATAGTCCAACTCTTTTTTCAGTGTTTTATCGGTTTTCTATTCGAAGCCCTTAATAATGCACTTCTTCAGGCATAGGAATTGGAACGCAATTGAAGAATATCTGCGGGTATGAACCATGATTTAGTGTAAAGTAGCCGGTAATCAATAAACTGGTAGCCCAAATAAAATTAGCATCAAGATGGTTCTGTATAATAAAAGATATGATTAAAGAAGGTTTCGTGAGATGTAAGGAGTACTGTAAGTGAATTCTGGTCGTTGCTGTGTATATTGTATATTTAAAAGAAGTAAAACTAAAAATATAATAATTGACTGTGAGAGAGAGAGAGACTCACGCAGGGCTGGTAGGGTTGGAGGCCTGGGAGGGGCTGAAGCTGCCCGCAAGGAGGCTGGCTGCGTCCGGCTTCATGTCCAGCGGCGACTGCGGGCCCACCAGCGACAGGTTGTTCTCCAAGCTCAGTCCTGCAAAACAGCATCGTGTTAGCCAAGCAGAAGGGCAGCTAACAAATCACATTACTTAAAAAATACACACTGCTAATGTCAACACATGTTAACCGAAACTACGTTTTCATTAATTTAAATAAACGATGTACTGGGGAGCATATCCGTACATATATAATTACAGAAAGGCTCGAAATCGGTTTTGTGCCAAATATAATGTCCTTTCATGCTCAAATTACATGAATGGGGTACCGTTGGATTCAGAATTTCACGGGGGGTTAGCGAAACGTATTCTCCACTTTTGTTTTTCTTTCTAAAATAAATAAAGTCGATACAAACATTTTGCTAGGCTTCAATGCCTGAACGGTGGTAGGTCTGTAGATAGATATGTGACTTGGATCTTGAAGATTTTGATGTGTACAGCAAGACCCGGATAGTTCCTGCGTTTTTAAGCCGAAAAACGTACTATTTTCGAGATAACACAAGGCATAGGGTTCGCATCCACACAACCTTACATTAATTGTAGTACTGTCATTGAATGCATGTCTCATTTCGTCGACTTGAGGTCTCTATGATAGAGAGAGGAGGAGTTTATATTATTTATCGTTGGTGTTTTTGATCGGCAAGGCATATCATCATCAATTTTTCACCAAATCTCAACATTGAGCCACCAATTTCGAAGGCTTCCTTCTCCTTCAGGCGGACAAAATAGTCCAATCGCTCCGAAAATTCAGGCAAACAAGTTATAAAAGAAAACAAACTTTATTTGCGAATAACTAAAAAATTACACACTTTTCCAATGATGTAGAAGTGGTTGACCGTTAATATAATATGAGAAGGAGTTAGTCGAGAGTGAGGTCAAATAAATAATAAATTAAAATATATTAATTATTTTAATTTTTGCCGACGTTTCGACCCACTTTGCAGGTCGTCTTCAGGGCTACAAAAGATACAAAACATGTTGAAAATAAAAAATAAATATAAGTATATATAAATATAAATATATCAATTTTATATATACTTATATTTATTTTTTATTTTCAACATGTTTTGTAGCCCTGAAGACGACCTGCAAAGTGGGTCGAAACGTCGGCAAAAATTAATATATTTTAATTTATTATTTATTTGACCGCACCCTCGACTAACTCCTTCTCATACACACTTTTCCCTTGGTTATGCCCGTGATTATATAAAAGATTACTTAATTCCCTACAAAAGGAAAAAAAAAAAAAAAATCATTAAAATCGGACAATTTTTAGCAAAGATACAGCTTACTGAAATTTGTAAACATGTTGGTTCCAAACAAAAATGAAGATTTAAATTAATTTTTGTTTTCTTTGTCGATTATATTATCAGTGTGTTTCATACCTTCCTCCTAACAGTTTTGCTAAATGTAAGTTGAACTTTTTACGTTATGTTATCTTTATAGTTAAATAAAGATTTTAAAATTTGTCTAAGGTATGTCTATTACTTGTACCGACCTCTTGTCTATCTCTAGAACAATTAAATTTCGGGGTGTCCATCACCAGTGCAAAAAATTGTTTGTTTTCCTAAATGAAGATCATACCTGCATACCTGAATATTTTAAAGTATTAAATACAAAAAGAAGACCCGAGAGATTCTAAATGTCCAACGGAGAAGTTTATAACCAGAATAATTACGGAGACATAAGCCAAAAAAGACAAAAATTTCCTTATATATGGTCCATCAGTGGTGCGCTTACCCTAAATAGCAAATAAGATAAGCAATTATATATTTTAAGTTAAAAAAAAAATTAATGAGAGCGAAGTAGCACAGGGGTAGGGCACTGACCTTCCAATACTGAAGGTCCTATGTTCGAATCCCTGATCATGGTAGAAAAATTATTTATTCTGTTTCATCGGCCGTGAGTCGACCCGGAGGTCAGGCGAACCTCCTGGGGCACACCCAGCCTTCACAAAAATTGTACCTTAATTAAATAATTGATTAAGGGCTAAAACTTGGCGGTTGAGCGTGATCTCAGTCAAATCACCTCCTTGCACAACCGTTGACCAAGAAATGAATGACTTTCCCTAAATAGAAATGAATTCAAGACCCTTCATGGGTTGTAGTGGTACCCCCTATTTTTTTTTTTAATAATGGAATAAAATCGATTTCCGTTGACTTATTTCCAAATTATAATCATAATAAGCAATATTTTAATCAATAGTATTAAAAGAGTATAGTCTATGGTAGGGACCCCTTATCATCAAATTATCAACATCCGCCTAAAACTTCCTCAATAGCATCACCTCATCGTAATCTACAACTTTTTTATTTATCCGAATTCCCGGAATTGGGGTGTTTTCAATCTGGATGGCGGATAACGTTGTCTATTTAATTTTTTTATATTTTTTTTTATTTCTTAAAGACATTTACAACTGTATTAAATAAATACATCTAGTAAATTAGAACATAATGACATGAAAAACATTTGCTGAGTAACTACCCAATGGTAGCACTCTAATGATATGTTTACATTAGGAGATCACGGGGCGATCTTCTTTTCAGGCGCCTCGGAGGGTTATCAGGAATTGAAGAGGAAGCAAGGTTAGAAACGAGAGAGTTGGGATGATTCTGAAGTTTATTATGGAAGGATAGGTATCTGGATTGGGCCAGATCTGAAACAAAAGGAACATTAAGGTCATTATGGATGGTTTTATTTGTAACAAAGTAGGGAGCATTGAGGATTTTACGAAGGATTTTGGATTGTAAGGATTGGATACGAGAGGAATTCGATGGTTTAGTGGAGCCCCATAGCTCAACTCCGTAAGTCCAAATAGGCCTTATTATAGTCAAGTATATGAGTCTTTTGTAATTAATTGGAAGATTAGAACGTTTGTCTAGTAAGTGCTGAAGTAATCGGAAACGTCGAGCGGTTTCTAGTCGTTTCAGTCTGGTATGGGGGTTCCAAGTGAGTCGTTTGTCAAGGTGGAGTTCTAAGTATAAGGTAGTACAGGGATAAGAGGGCTATTGTTGAAGGATACTGTAGGACAGGAAGTCATAGGTTTACGACGTTGAGTGAAGGTAATTTGATGGGATTTATTTTAATCCTCCAGTTTTGACACCATTTTTCAATACTTGTGATGAGTGATTGGAGAGTTTGGGATGCAATAGATGGATCGTTATTAACTGATAGGATACATGTGTCATCGGCATATGTGGTGATGACAGTGTTGGGATAGGTAGGGATGTCAGCTGTATAAACTGTATAGAGGATAGGGCCTAGGATACTACCTTGAGGAACACCAGTGGACTGGGGTCTATTTAATTAGGTGTTAAAACATCTTCAACACTAATTTGCTTTACACTTCAAACGTAAGATAATTTGTTCACAATTTCAAGAAAAAGGTAGGCTACAAAAATATTAGGCCGTTTGGCTTAACTTCCATCTTCAACTTGTCGAAATAAGGAGGTTATTTAGGCCAATCGGCCCAATTAAAATCTGAAAAGCTTTTAGGTTGAAATTCGTGTTTAATTAAATAAATAATGGAATAATATTTTATTTGCTAACGTAAACTGGCAGTAAATTCTCAGCACTCAGTAACATTGTGTTGGATAAAGAGGAGTCCTATTCTTGGAGACGTCAGTGAAAAAAATATTTAATTATTTATTTAATAAAAACAAAAATATCATTGCGGATATTTTTATTAGTGTATATGTACAATTTTTACTTTCATTTACCTATATATATATAATATATAATACAGGAAAATACTCTCGAATCTTAGTTTTCAACGAAAATACACGATTTAAGGTTTTCTGAATCTAGTGTGAACTAAGTCTCACAAAATGGTCTGTGAGTATGTTAACATACTAGCACAAAACCGTAAAGCCGTACGAAACTGAAAATACATATGTAAGTTAGGAATATGAGATGTTATAGCAACTTTTCCGTTAAAATTGGCAAACCAAAAGTGCCACTTTGCCATGTCAATTTTAGTATTTTCTTAAAAAGGGCTCTAACAACGATTTCGATCACACTCGGTATATCAATGTATAGATAAATGGTCATTAATATCATTTAAGTCTTAATTATCTCATTGATGACGCTTAGCAGAGGGCTTAAATGAATAATGTTCTAAATTTCTTCCTCTAATTTCATCCCTTTAATTTGTGTTATTTTAAATAATTATCTATCTCTCATAGTTAGCAGTAATAAAAAAATAATATAACGGCTAAATATAACGTTTGAAAGAATTTGATAATTAAATTAAGGAGGAAAAAAGAAAAATGTTTGATTAGGTCGAAAATAATTCACCAGAAATAATAGTTAAAGGCAATGACATTGTAAAAACAACTATTTCATTGTACTGGTATGAAAAAAGAAGTAAAATATTTAAATATTTCATGGGTTTGTAAAACATATAGTCGTTTTTTTGCAAAGATGTATAGTAGCTGTTAATTTCGATAATATTTATCGAAAGAATAACTCGAGTGCATAAAAATTATACAAATCCTATTTTACGTAAAAAATGCAAAAAGTCACTATGTGCATCGTAGTTTAAGTTTTTTTCATTGTTATGGATATGATAAGTATTTTAAATCAAGTTTCGGAAATAAATACATTTTTAGAATTGCAAATAACAAATTATAAAGTAAATAAAGGTGATATTTTACTATTTTTTTTTTATGAATCAGAAACTTAAATTCAATTCACTCAAATTTATTAAAATGTTACTTAATGACTTTTTGCAATAAACCGAAGATATGTATGTATATAACCTTAAATACATTTACTGTAGTTTAATAAGTACATCATGTAACATTTAAGAAAATTAAATTAGTGAATAATTAGATGAATTTTCCTATTTGTGAAATCACAACATTTCTTATCCACTTACAATTAGTGCGATTACTTTTGACCTATCGATAGTAGGCAATACAAATCACGTAACTCCATCTCAGTAAACTTTACAGAGAAAAAATAAGAGTTTAATAACTAATAGTAGTACAATCTATAATAAATTATTGATTAAATATACAGACCTACTTTCAAATCT